GGGGGTGAAAGTGAAACAGATTGATTTGTACCTCCCAGACAGATGGGATTATTAGTATGTGACTGCCCTGTTTTTACACTTACACACACACACACACACACACTTATGTAGAAACAAGACTGAACAAACTTATAACCGAACACACGAAATTAGCATGGGCTGGATAAAGACTGATCTGTCCTCTGCTACTGCACTAGGCCATCTCCTGTTTGCCCCCGTCTTCACACAGCCCAACCTGACAGGTGTTCAGGACACACTAGTTGAGCTATACCTGCCCATGCATTCACACACGCCCTCTATCTTTCAAACAAAGCCGTTACAGTTATCTTGAAATTATCCAACTGTCAAAAAGACGAGTATGCAATGCAATACAGAAACTGGGAAGGTTTTGCCGCATGGATGAACTGCCTGATAGGAGCGCCTTGGAGTAAACAAACCAATACAGCAGAGATATAGAGCCCATAAATAACAGCACCTGGTTATAATTGCAGCCACATATGTTTTACAACATTATTATGAAGTGCCTTGTCAGGCACATTTGATTTAGAGCCATACAAAAGATGGAAAGAGCCCCAAGCTAAAACAGCTTCAGCTGTAAATACTGAAGTGAAAAACTGTTAGTCCTAATGAAGGGCATTAATAACATCTTTCCAGTATTTAGGAAGAGTTAAAATTCAGCTGATTATCCAAGGAAGCACATACAGCTCTTTTTAAAGAATAAGTTAATGGACTACAAAACCGATCCCATGCTGTTCTTTTTCATTCTTTTCTCTGACCCCTGAGAACACTCGTTTTTCCTTCTCAAGAGACTCCTCGTTTAATCAGTTGCAGAGATGCAAAGAGCTTTTTGTCCGTCTTTCAGTCATCTCTCTCTTCCAATGACTTCTACACCGCAGCTTCTCTCCCACTTTATTTTCTGCTCTTTTTAGGGAGAAACTCTGGGTCTTGGCATTAGGGTCACCAGGCCGTAAGCCCCCAGAGAATTAAAGGCTCTAATGGGTAACGCAGTCTCCTCGAAACAAAAAGACTCCCATTGAGTTATATGCAATAGCATGACCGGCTTTTGCAGGGAGCAGGCCATTCAGGAACAGCTTTCACAGAAAGAAAAAGGAAACCGTAAGGACCCTTTTGTAGCATTCTCTGGTTCAGGCTGGCTTCTCTACCTTTCAGAGAAATTGCCTAGCTTAAATGAGGGCTCTCTGCAGGACCACAGATCTCCTTTGTACTGCAGTTCTTTAGGAGAAGCAAGCTGAGGCTATCTGGACAGATCAGCTGCTGCTACCCAAGCTTTTGATGTGCTGGTAATTATCCTTGGACCTGGGGTGGCTTTCTGAAGCTGCAGGAATTCATATGCCTGACAACAGTTCTTGAGCTATGGCCAACACCTAGCTTAAGGATTCAGAGCAAGGTCAGCTGGTAAAACCCTGAGTATCTGCTGTTTTCTTCAACAGACATACTTCCTGTGTTCTCCTATGTATTTTGACACAAATACTTTCTGTTTTAAGGTAACAAATTTCTGCTCTGGGCTAATGTGGAAATCTCCTTTAACACCATCTTTTCCCTTTTAGCTAGCTGCAACAGCAGTTCCTGGGCTTGCCTTCCTCAAAAGGTTGCTTCAAAGATCCAGTGAGACAATGCTGCGCATACTCTCCTGGATTCTACCGAGACAGGGTGGAAGCCAAATTAAGCAGAATGAACAGCATGGAATAGTTGCTTAGATGTGCCACACACACACTGTATGCACACATTGGCTTTTAAGCACTTTGTTCAGTATTTATCCAAGCTTAGGATCACTTATGCTATTGGAAATGCTCATCGCTATTTCTGCTAAGCCTTCGAGGTGAATTTGGTGAGTGCCCCAATACGTTAACAGTTTCTACTTCCTTATTTTGAAGAAATTTACAAGCAAATGCAGACAATTACTTTGCAGGGCTATTAAAATTCAAAAATGTATCCATGAATTTTAAGACATTATTTCATTCTTCTACAGTTGCCATCATTCACATGCAGAAGTCAATTATCACTACATTTTGTCCATTCTCTGAATTTTTTTCCTATACAATGAAAAAATGTATTGATTTGTATCTGCCTAGCTCCACAGCTATTATTAGTAAATAATTCTGATCACTGCAAATTTCAGGGGGAAACAGCAAAAATTATGGGGTAGCTTGGTTTACACTAAAGCAAAGTTCAACATTCCCACCAATGTGGCTCCTGCTACTGTACCTTGTAAGAAGATATGGCGAGAATGAAGCTGGATTGTCCTGTTCTGAAAATGCTGGCATGGAACCACCCATTATCCAGAGGCGAAAATACAAAAGTAGGATCACCTTCAGGGAAGAAAAACAGATACCAGTTTTATTATTCTATAAAAGATCACAATTCCTTAGAGATAGCAAGCCAGGGAAAGAATGAAAATCAAGTATTTTAACATCTTCCTCAAAAGGGCCTTCACTGTCAGCTGATAAGCAAGATTGGGACTAGCTTTAGGAAGACACCAAAAGCAGATGATTTTGGTTTTCCCAAAAGAGCAGGAGGTTCTTAATAAGTTATAGTGGGAGAGTATGAGAGATGCTTATGGGTTTTTCCTGATCTTGGACCAAAATTACTTGGCCTAGGATACTCTGTGCTTCTCCCCCCACATTTTTTTTTTTTAGACCAACCCCCCCCATAAATGCATCACAACAAAAACACAATAATAAAAGTAATGCTACCACCAATTCACATACTATAACAATTAATAACATATAATATACTTCAATTATTTCCATATCCCCTCCAGAAGTTCATATAATCTTGACTGGGTTTACAGCCTTTGCCTTCTATCAGTACTGCTTTTACAAAATCTTCCCAAATTTCATTATATTTATTTGCTTTCATTAACCCTCTTAATTTTTATTTCTGTCATCAGTTTATCATTAATTACCATGTTCCATATTTCATTATACCATTCATGCCTTTTGCAAGACCCAATTCTGTTTCCAATATTTAACTATCACTAGCCTAACTGCCATTATCATACTTACAATCAATTCTTTCTTAGCTTCATTTATATCTTGTTTGGGTACTCTGTGCCTTGACTGGAGCATAGGGAGGTGCTTGCCATAGGCAGCAAGAAGTCCTGTTTCAGCCCTCCTGCTGCTAAGCCAGAGCTGAAACTCATTGTGTTCATTCTTAGGTGCGAGTAAAGGAAGATTCTCCTACATCTGCTTACTCCTGAAACTGCCAAGTTATAACATAATTTCCAAAGAAATTAAAGGGAGTAAGACTATATTCTTTAGTGAATACTTACATAGGTAAGTACCAAGGCAGCTCTCTTTAAAAAAGGTCTTGTGGTATACAGGAACTTCTGCTTGTTACTTGTGGTCAGGTAACTGAAAGCAACATTTTAAGAAGGTGTTAATCAATAGATACCAATATTTTGGAACTAAATGTGGAAAAGGTTAATTATATTTATAAACTCAATTTCTATGAAGGCACTGAAGACATTCACAGTTTACAACGATTCTTTAAATTAAACAGATGCAGTACAACAAAGAGAAGCAGAAGCCAACGACAATGATGAAGGAAAGCAACCTGGACAGGAGTGAAAAATGGGTAAATTCGAGTACTAGAGTGCCCCATCAAAGATCATTGAGTGGGTATCTGCAAGTGAAATTTCTACTGCCCCATTTACCAAATGCCCTCACAGTGCTTACACATTAATAAATCTTTGGTGACATCTTTGCATGTCTCTCGAGCCTTTGAAAGTTTTTGGCTATAAGTTGTTGAGGCTTTTTTCTTTGCATTTTTGTTTTTATCTATTCCTCTGCTGCTCATTATTTTGTTTTGTATTCTATTCTTTCATATGGTATTTTATTCTTTGAACTGTTCATAATCTACCCAGAGAATGTTTGTTCTTGGGCAGTTTGAAAATGCAATAGATAAACAGGCACAGCAGGAGAGGTTGGGAACCTGGATGGCAGAATGGGCACTGCAGTCTCTTTGTCCTTTTGATGCAAAACCTGTCTCAGAAGAACTGTCTCTGGGCATGGCTACCACACATCACATGAATGATCTCGTTCCATTGCATATCCCGCAGAGGACGGGCTCATAGGGAGAGAGGTACACTCAGCGTTATCCTTCCATAAACAGAACCCTCCTTTAAGTATCTGGCAGCTCCTTCAATTCATGAAGTTAAAACTTAGATTCCAAGCCATGGTGCCTTCACTTACACATCAATACAATTTATTTAAGGAGAATCAGGTTGTAAAAGTTAAAGATGTTCAGTCTTTGCTATTCAATTTCTAAAGCAAAAAGGAATGCTGACATGCCTTTCTCACACTCACCCAACTAGTCGGGTGATTCAAGGCAATTTAACAGTTTCGAAGCTCCAGCAACATATGAGAAGAGGTTGCAACATTTCCAGTGTAAAAGGAAAATGTCAAATGCAGCCTTTGATCAACATTTTTATGGTAGACAGCAAGCAACTTTCAACAACCTTTAAGGTGAGAAGTAAAGCTTTCTATGCCAACAAAGCAAGACAGGTGGGTGTAAAATTTAAACAGTGAAAGAACATGGGGGAATTTGGAAGTGTGCCAGGAAATGCATTGTGTAATTAAAACAATCTTCTGTCATGTCAAGAAAAATAATAAAATGAACGCATACAACAGAGAAAGATAAATTTTCTCAGACCCTGTATATCTATGCATTAATAAATGTCACTATTTGATTTTGGCATTTAAATTAAATGCCAGACTAGACTAAAAGGAGTTTGCTCCTGTAAGGTCCAAAGCTTCCCAAACTCCCACCGATAACAAGTAGAAACAACTCCCCCTGTAAAAGGCATCTCCAATAACTCCCAGCAGTTCACCTCGGCCTTGATGTGAAGTCATTGGAAAGAACATGAAGGTGGATTTAATTAACCTGAGAGTGGAAACAGCACCTCATGTTTTCTACTTATTTAATGGATGAGGAGAAAACAAGGTGTCTATATTTGGGGCAATTTGTTGAGTATGTGCTAACAAAAGGGAAAGGATTTGAACTTCCATGAGAGTCACTGCAATTTAGGAAGAGGGATGGAGTTTCTTGAAAGAGCAAATGATTTGGCAAATATCTAATGGTCCTGGTGGTAGGATGCATGGTTTTATTGTGTTATAGTATGATTTTAACTGTATATTTTGCTTTCTGCTGTATTGTAGCTGTAATTTTGTAAAAATTTAATAAAAATTAGTTTAAAAAGAAAAAGGTGTCTATAAACTTTTTTAATTTTAATTTTTTTGATTAAAAACTTGTTACCTTTAGGAAAACAACTTAACACAAGAAATGTATTAACCGAGAAACAGTGTAATACTGGCATATGCAGCAGTCTCCAATGAAGCATGTGTTTCTAAAATGTTATTGTATTCCATTTATATCCCACCTTTTTCTTGGAAGGAACCCATGGGAGTTTACATGGCCCCCCTCCTCTCCATTTCGTCATCACAACAAGAAGTTAGGCCAGACTGTTAGGGAGTAACTGGCCCTAAGTCACCCTATGGACTTCCTGGCCAACTGAGAAATACAACCCAGATTCCCAGTGTCCCACTCAAGCACTGCTAGACACACATTAAAAGAAAAATCTGCTTTGGCCATAAGGAACTTAAAAACACACTGCCAAGCCCATTCCAGCAGCTAGCATATAAGACCCAGAACTAATCAGTTTCTATTCTACTTGTAATTACTTGAACCAAGGGATATATAGATTTTCTTAAATGTGTTCCATCTGCGCTTCATGGATTGTCAGGTGTCTTTCGCTTGGCTGTCCATTCATTGACAGAATCAGATTTTTTTTATTCTTTACAAGAATTTAATTCCTATTTGCACTTGTGTAAATGCATCAATGCCAATGCTTGCTTGTTCAAATATAGATTTGTACAAAGTACAAAAAATTGTCCACAGAACCAGCTTGACTCAGAAACAGCCAGTTTAATGTAGAATCCATAGTTCAAACTCATGGCAGCACAAATTAATTTGAATCCTTTGTAGATTTCTCCTAAAATCCCAACTCGAGCTGCAACTGCAGATTCAGACAACCTTTGGGATTTCCTGAAACCTAATCTAGTACCTTTATCCATCTCACTACCAAGACGGGTGCCATATGTAGGAAAACTTTCTTATATTAGCTGCTCATACAGGAACACAAAGTCCCAGTTCAGATATTCAGTGTCCTCATACTGGCTCACTGCTCTTTTCCTGACCACTGAGGTAGCATCTCGCACCAAAGTTGAGGTTGTGGGATTACTGCTTCTCAGAAAGTAGGGGGGCGGGGGGAATCCATATCACATCATCACAGGAGTGGGCATTTACTCAGAACTGGACAGTAAACTAGCTGGTCTACAGTAAACTGGACAAATGAGCTATCTGGGTCAACCTACATTCAACTCAGGCCTCAAAGCATCAGCACTGAATATCAGGTTGGGAGGCTGAATCCAATCATCCAGAGGTCCAACTCTGCCCACTGGGATGTATTGATTTTGTCTGTACTCCTCCTTTACCAAGAAAAATGGCACTCAAGAAGGATTACAATCACAAATAAAACAGCAATAAGCCAAGATATTAAAATGGTTTCCCTGACCACTGATACTTGAGTGGTTTGCTAGCTTGGGTGTGGGTTCTTGCCCCTTTTCAAAAAGGTTAAAATGTCTCTCCTAAGATGTAATTAGCAGCAATAAAGCTATATGCTAAAATATGCTGGTATTCATTTATTTATCCCACTTTGCCTCTAGGCTTGCAATGTTGTGGAACACTGGCCTGCTTAAGTGGCAGGGAAAGCGAAACATAAAAGTTTGCTGGGCTTGTACCAATACTAGGCACCTGGCATTCTGCATTTGCCCGATCAAGATAGCAGTACGTTCTTGCTGCTGATGTTGCACTTCTGGCTTCAGACTAGTTTCTGACCGCTGGTGAAAATGCGGTCAGAAACTAGTTAAGTATTTAGTTGCTCAGCAAAACTGCATGGTAAACGCTTCCAAAATTTCTCTCTCACTTCAGCACTTTAAAAAAAACAACCCCTAAAACAGGAAAGATGACAGGAAAGGCAATCCTGTTTTAAATGTTGGGGGTGGGCAAATGCATTTGTACAGACCTTTTATTTTTTACTTTGCTTTCTCATAAGTCACTATGAAATTGCTTCATCACCTTCTTTCCTGAAAAGTAGTTCAGCGATAAGCCATAATCATAATAGCAAAGAGAGAAGCGCTTAAGAAACAAAGAGTTCTCTCCTATATCTGTATCTTACACACATTCCAACACTCAGGCTTGCATGAACAAACGCACAGTTCGAATGGAGGCCAAGACAGATCTGGCAGCCGCGATTTCCTCCAAAGGAGAGCTCTTCACAAAATGACATCAGTGCTGCACCAAGGGTTTATTATAACCCGAGACAGCAGGGTAGGTGGCCCAATAAAATGCAAGACCATGTAGGTTTATAGTGGTGTTAAAAGTTGCTGGTACCAGATGAAGTTTGCAAATCAAAACAAACTCCTCAGAAGACCAGACAGCTTGTCTTTGTTAAGAAGAAACAAGAAGCCCAATTCATATAAACAAAAGACGGGCTTAATGGCTACTTGAAATCAGTGGGGAGGTAATTTTAGCCTCTGGACTTAAAGAAAAGAAGATGTTCTTTAGACGGCAACACATACTATAATGGATGGAGTAAGCCAACCCTGCTGGATTGGGGCAGGGGGCTCCTGTTCATTCTACTGAGGGGGGGCTGTTAACCTCTGCCCCACACACCAGCCCTGACAGCACCCTTGTTTGACCCAGAAGCCTGCTTCACAATGTCCATAGGAGGTGATGGCCTTAGGTCTCTATCCTTCCAGAAGCACCTCAAGCTTGGTGCACCCCTACCAGTTGGGTAGGGCTCTGCTCACTGTAACACCTCAAGCAGAGATCATGGGAGCAGCAGTAAGAGCAGCGTCTTTTCAAGAGCAGCTGTGTGGAATAAGGTTCTGGAACAAGCTTCCTGGCACAGAGCCTTCTTGGTGAGGTTCAGAAGACTGCTAAGAGGAAGGCACCAAATTTTCATGATTAACAACTGGGCTGATTCTTTGTTGTGATATATTCTTAATTGAATGTGATTTGATAGGCGATGCTTGACCAGGGGTCATTTAGCTCCTTCGAGCTGGAGGATTAGGCAGAGTTAAAATATGTATTTTAACTAATTTGGTTCTATTTATTACAGCACAGGAATACATGCAGAGTTGTTATTTCTACACAGCTGCAGGGTGGTGCTCGTTTATTTGTTTTGATTTAGAGACCTCCATAATGTACAACGCAATATACACAAGTATCTACATGAGGCAACACTCACACATTTAAGCTGCCATCTATTCCTCTATCCTCCTTTTCATGA